CATCATTAAGACTTCGGATTTAAACGGCTCGAAACATGGCCGAAAGAGTTATTCTTAATACATCTGAATCTTTTATATAGAGATTTGCAGCCTTTCTAAAGAGCAAGGTATCCGTTACTGATTGGTTCGTTCAGATACGCTCCAACAGGTTCTTTTAGGCATTCTGCGCTTTTTGTACCTTTTGTATTTATATTGGCTGCTTTGAGTTCTTGTGTGTTTGCGTTCTGGGCCTTCGGTCAACCTAAAATTTACTTTGACTAGATTCTTTTTGTATTTGACTCATTTGGTTTGATCAATTTATGGAAAACTTACCTGCCGAGTAAAGAAGGAATGTTTTCAAAGTGACGAATGTGTGGTTTTAGGTAGTGCATTGAAGTGTTATAGCGGAGAACGACGGTTATATAAAGTAAAAGGAGTGACCCTTTTCATACATGAAAAATTTTGAAGTATCTGAGTCTTAGAAATAGCTGATTAAGAAAGTTCAGGATTCAGATCCCCCCCCCGATCATCCCCCTACACGAGTATATAAACCCTTGAACAGCTACGACTTGTTACTTAAGCTATAAATAAGATCCTAATTTTTATAGTATCTTCGGTCGTGCGCACATACACCCAGTTTACGCATCTCGTCTCATAGTAAACAGATAAAGTTTAAAGCGTAATGAGCCTTGACGATCATCAACTAGAAAAGTGTAAAGCATAGTTATAACATGATAGAGGCAGTAGAATTTTCTGAGAAACCAGTATTATTTCAGCATCCAAACCGAACATTCATTTATCTTCTACGCAGTAAACATCTGAGATGCGTGGATATTATTATACTCGTTTGCCCTGTTATGCACGATTATGTTTAAGTGAACCTCATCCAAAGACGTAACGGCTTCATAACACCTTTTGTTTGAATGCTCCGCTGTTTCATATATATATATATATATATATATATTACGTTCGACACTTGCAAACGCAGTAAATTTAAAATGTTATTGAAGGATAGCCGGTTTGTAGAACAAATGCCCCCGCCGCTAAATATGTGGGATCAGGGCCGCACCATGTCATCTCCATGCCATTAATCCACTTGCCAAACCTCTGGGGGCGGGGGCAAAGCTCTCAAAAGCCGCATTAAAGCTTGTCACTTGACTTCGTTTGGCCATAAACCGGGTGACGTGTAATTGACCCAGACGACACGATGTGATTCAATTCAGAAATGTTATGTTTTTTTTACATACAAACAATTACGAGAATATCGCGAGGAGGTGGCAGTTTGCTTTCACCCGGAATGTACTTTGAACGCGTCTCTGCTGAGCGCTAACAACATATAGTATTGTCGTTGTCGTTGTTCTATTTGTTGTTGTATCGGCCAGTGTTTTCGCGCAGCAAGCAGCTCCACAATACAGAACAAAATGGTCCATGACCTTTGCCCTATTCTGGAACATCGTCACAAACAAGGGTTCCTCAAGCGATAGCAACGGTAACACCAAACGCGCGACCGGCGTCAACGTAAACAAGAGCGCCATCTTTGTTCCATGTCATATCGCCAGTCACTCTATTCTAAATGTGCGCTACTAATAAAATGATATCTTAATAGACATTGGAGCTTTCCCTCGGCGGCTTGCCGGTGGGCTGGACAATGCTGCCAAACTCGCGGTTGCCCCTTTTCAAATGAAGCGGCAGTGAAAGAGAAATAGAGAGCAAGCGAATAAGAAATGGAAAATGTTTTGCTAATCAAAAGCATGTTAATATCCAAGTTGAACTCCTGATAGCAAAGTCTAATAATAACAATCTTATAACGTTAATTATAGTATGATAATTGTCTGTCACAGTAATGATTGCGTTGTGTGAATGCAGGTTGTTTACGCTGGCATTATCGTAAAAGTTTTTTACAAGGAAAACTAGCGTCCTTGAGCCACGTGTCTTGATATGGTTTGCATGATTATGTATATTAAAAATGCGTCTTCTGTTTAATCTTTTTTTATCGTTTATTGTTCTCGCTGTGTAAGCTAGGCCAACAATAAAAACTGTTAGGTGTAACCTCTTTACCTGAGTATATTTGCATTACATTAAAATCACGATAGGCAGATGAATATCTGCTCGTGGTGCAAATAAAGCACTTAGTTTCAGCATTCATTTGGATAATCAGAAGATGATACAGTGACAGCTAAGCGTACTGCAGCAGTACGAAACGACCCATTTACGCCCATGCACTCCCCTGTGGGGCGCTTCAGAAAACCGTGCGAAGCCCGAGACATAGCAACTTTACAGTTCGAGGCAAGACATTCGAATTAAAATATATATAAAGCTCACTCGAAATCAAACAACGGCCGCTGTCGTAACCTATGGCCAGTCAAGGAAATACTATAACAAAATGTTAGTACTCAATGAAGCAATACGTGTCCTGGATGGCTACCATGGTAACAAGCGTTGACACAACGCCACGAATCGTCCAGATTTCGGCGTCTGCAAGTAGTTATCATGTCGTTTCATAAGTTTATTGGGAAAACCCGGGACAAGACTAGCAAAACGCATCCTGGCTAGATTTTTTAATGGGAGAAAGTAGTTAGTGTTGTACCGAAAAGATGATTTCGAGGACTTGTACATGCAACAGAAGTAGTCGACAGCCGCGGTATGAGTGTTCTCTCTCCCAGTGGTACCGAAGTGCAAAAGCGGGTCATCATAGCGCCGTCTGTGGCTATAAAATGTCTGTATTCGTTGACTGGCTGCTGTATATAAACAGTATATGTTAATTTTGGGCGAAGGACTTTTTGTGCGTAATGCTACTTAGACCTCGACTGTCATGTCAAACATCACATGAACTGATGTCTTTTAATAACTTCCCGTAATAATTAGTGTAATTCAGACATCTGAACTTAGTTAAAATGTAATTATCTAGCTATCTCTAAGCTCGGTTTCATAGCTTACATCGTGCTCGACATCATGGCTCTTCTCCTTCAGGTGCCATTGGACGCAAACAAACGCCTAATCACTTCGTGGTGCTTCGTTTCGCCATCTTCTGCCGATTCGTTTATATTTACAGAATGTTTCATCAAAAAATTTAATCAACAGTTAACCCTCACCTTGACTTAGCTATCAAAGCGCAGCTAACGAATTATTTTTGTTTTGTGCAAGATATATTTAATATGAATGTAATGCTAAATAATGCTCGGTAGTGCTCCGCGTAAATGTTCCGGAAAGTATTCGTTTGTAGGTGTTTCAGCAGTAAAAGGGCGGTGCAGATTAAGGCAGGAAACTTCCTGATCGAGCAAAAGGACAGGACGTATTCTGATAGCAATCGTAGTATGCGAGCCGACAACGCTAGAAACAATGTGAATGCTATTTAGAGTTAGGCTTATAGAGAAAGGTATGAGTGATGCTAGTACGAACCTTGTGAAGATCAGCAGTTCAGTCACGTTGATCTAGGAGTGTCTCGTATGTTGAATGAAGGAAAGGAGGCATACCACTAATCCTAGTTAAGTTAACATCTTCCGAAAAACTATAGTCGAGTTACTTCGTATACAAGAAGTTGCAGTTTAGTCTGTAACTAATCTATACCGTGACCTTGCGAAGATGATTAACGTTTTACCTTAGTTTAAATCCCATGTAGATGATACCACAATTTCTAACTATGCCGATGTCATCCTTAATAATCGTGCTTTCTCCTATGCGGAAATTGATACCCCGAAGGTATACCTATAGGTTGATACGATGATTAATCTGCAACCCTACAGGTTAGGCGAAAAAGGCTATTCCTATACAACGTGATCGTGAGTAGATTTCTGTGCTTTCAAGGTTTCGTGCTAGCTTTTCTCGCTCGTCTGATTTCGCTGTCTGTCGACAAACAGCAAGCGAGTAGCACTCTGATCTTCAGTAGGAGTGGCATATGTATCGATTTCGAAATCTACACGCATCTTCATAATTTGGCGACGCGTCGCTGCGCGTTGTGTTTCAGCTGTGTTTTTACTTTCCCGTACTTCATCATCTAGTTTTAGGATTCTTACTTGCTTTGAAGACTACAGATCTGTAAAGGCGACGATCTTCTACTGCCGGTGATGTGCTGCTATCGCTATCGTCGCTTGATGCTCATTTGACTGGTGATGAAGTCGTCATTTTTCGGCAGGTGCCGACATCGCACTTTGTTCTTTTGGGGGCTAAGCAGACATCTAATGTCTCGACGACAAATGTGACACAGAAGCGGCCCAGTGATGACATCACTCGCAATGCTTAACTAATACGAATACTAAAGGCGCTTGTGGGAACGTTGCTTAATGAGCAATGACATGTTAGCAACAAGAACAAGAACGATGGAACATTAACAGTAATTGTACCGGTTCTACGTATGTGGCAATTGGTATGTGCGAGAAAATCAAACGTTAGCGTTTTTGAAGGGTAAGAAGTTGAAAACCTAGCTATCTGTACGGTGCAATGTGTCATGATACATAAATGATGTGCGCCAGAAATCACCTAAGCAGTCGGCTATAGAGACGCTCCAAAAAACTCCGAACATGAGCTATGAATATGTTACGCCAACGTTAAGCTTAACATACTGTTAGAGATAATGAGACAGAAACTGCGGATGTTATATATGGTACACATGTCCTATTAGCTAGAACAGGCTTAGTAAGCTCTTCCATTGCAGAGGGGTTTCCCGTCTGCTGAGAGCTTACGTGATATTTCGAAAGCTCGGCACAAATAACTCAATGACAGTCTACTTAAGAAGTCAAAAAAAAAACTCATTCAGGTCGCTTATCAACGATTTTATACCGATATTTTTCATCTTCATAATGATTTAAACACAGCATCTCGGAAGGGTTAGAATCTACGAATAACTTACTCAAATGACAGTCCTGTCTAGCATGTCGGATTTAATTCAGTACACTGTTACGCTTAGGAGAGCTTGTTTGTAACGTGGGTCGCCTGTGTCAGTTAGCATTATTAACGTATTTATAACGATACATTTAACACAATCTAGTAACATATCTTCACTTACTGCTGTAATGTTGTTTCAGGGTCTCAATGCAGGAACAGATAACATCAATATGCATTCCAGTTTAGGCGTCGGTGTCATTAGCCTACTGGTAAGTTGTGACAAACCTAAAAAACTTGATCAATAACGTCAGGCTTTCTAAACATGATGGCTCTGTCTATTTTGTTTCGACAAGGAAAAAATTATATATTTCGCTCATTTGTTCTATAGTATTTTATTAACAGGAGTTTTCAACGAAAAGCCAGATCAATTTAAGTAACACAAGCACGTTTGACTTTATTTCGATAGAGTTGTTGTACTATAGGTCTCCGGTAGTTCGAGGCATGCAGTTTACCACTGGGTAGTCCGGTATATTTGCTTTTCATAATATGAGATTTAAGTATATTTATCTAAAATCTTCTCCCGATGAACGTGACCTAAGAGGCTAATATGGCCGTCTGACCTTGCACCAAGCTGCAGGTCCTCATGTGTGATTTTTTAGGAGCTTGGTAAACCTGTTGGCCATGGCTATGTATATAAATTTCGCTTTTGTACAAAGGTGGCGTGGTTGACGGCTGGTGTGGGAACAACTGAACGTGTAGTAGGAGAAAATGGAGAAGTTTACGTTCCTCCGCCTCCGCAATTGTCTAGACAACTTCAGAGGAAGTTCCCGCATGCGAAAAAACTCCATCCAGCCCTGCTTCCGAGAAAACATCAGGGTAAGAAATCTCACCCAATGCAAAGCACTGATCTATTAATTCTTGCCTTTTTTCTTGATTTGGGCTAGATCTCACTTTTTGAAATCATTTGTATTGAACATTCACGTAAAGTAGACGATAACTAGCATTGTTATATCTAGACATTTACAGAGGTCACAGAAAAAATGAATTGCAAGTATCAAGAATGAAGTAAGTATGGATGAAGACGACCGTGTATCAAGTTGATATTTAAAAGACGAATTGAGCAGTCAATGATGACTTGTGTCGGGTTCCCGAACAGTCAAACGATATCTCCGGTGATGCTAAACCACCACAACAATTCGCAGACCAATAGCGTCTTCCCTTCTCTAGTAATGCCGTCTCTTCGTCCACTCAACAGCATTAAGAGATTCAACTAACTAACTAACCGGTAGGGCCAAAGATACTAACATCTGGGGCAAAACGGATCTAGAAAGACTGATACGCCTTTCTTACGACGATGTAAAATAGTTTGAACTTTAATATTTAGGACTACTTCGGTTAAACATTGCTTTCAACCATTGGCCCCTCTATATGGAGACAATATGGAGCATGCTTTCGCGTAGTTCTCTAGGCAAACCTAGACCACCTCTGGTATCCTTAATTTCGGCAAAAGTAGACGTTTTCATTGCATTATCATGCGAACATGCCACACAGTGCTAAAATATCCTAGACGATGTGTTGTAGCTGCTCGTTGCACTGGACCCGTAGATCGTCTCCTTCAGACGACTTCTATCAAGCCTTTATCCCTGTGTATAGGACATAATGCTGATCATAATACATCGCCACTAGATTCACGCGTGCATTCATTTTACCGCACTGCCCATTACGCTGTTGCGTCAGTGTCATCGCAAACCTTCACAATATGTGTTTAGATATCCTTTGATTCCTTCCTCGAGATAAGCGCATATTCTTCTACCGAAAACAATTACAAATTTTCAACAAACGCCGTTCACGCCTGCGGTGTGGAAACCTACGTGCTAAACGTTACTTATTGTTATTATAATAACGTGGTCTATCCCGGTACGTTAACACTTGTTTGCACAGGAGTCATGTCTGAGGCAAGATCGCGCGAGGAAGTCGGCGGTCTAGACAGCTACCGTGGGCTGTGGTACTCGCAGCAGATGAGGCTACTCGTTATGTTGACGCTATTCTCTTCCCATGTCCTGGAGCCTCTGACATGGTCACGCCACTGCCTATGTCGAAGTGATTTCCGGCGGCAGCGGGCTTGATAATGATGTCTATTATTAGTGAGAGTTTAGGCAAAAAAAGACTAGATGGTTTTTTCAAGGAGACAGATTTAAAGCAGCTTTTTACTACGCTTAAGGAAACCAAATCCATTTGTTGAAAGTGGAAATACTAGACAACTATTCAGAAGCAATTTGCTTTTTGTCCTTACCAACATTTAACAACGTTCTTTAATAACAGTTGCGACGTTCAATGAGATCGCAGCTCTTTGGCTAGCAAACTGTAGCGTTCCTCCTGCAAATCGCCGGTATTATTATATTATATTCTTATGTATATATTTTTTCATATATATATTATTTCATAGTAAAAACTTGGTGGAAATAGCAAACACGATACCGCCCAGTACAAGCGAGTAGTCTTAAGTGTAATTATAATACCGAGTTGACATTATAAAACAACCCGCTTCTATAATATAAACAAACGCCTGCCAGTGTCTAGTTCTGTCTCGTTGATTTTTATGCATAACACAGGCGTGAAAAGCTGCGCGATGCGCAGGACAAGAACCTGATGCTTACATATTATGCAAGAAGATTTCATTCGTGTTCGAAAAATGCTGCAGATATTATAAATCCAGTTAAAACTACACGCATTTCATTGCTTAGTTGATCTTTTCATTGGGCTTGTTTCTTATGAACATTGGCCGATTAGACATTAACATATGTAGAATGATCTGGAATACAACAGAATATTAGTATTCCTAGACCTTTCAGGGACGTAGTAAATATCCTCCGGGAAAGAAAATAAGCTGCGTGGAAGGATTATCGTATATACGATTCAATAGACCAAGCTTCGTTACCATCCTGCACAACAGACTGTGTTAACTCAGGAGTCAAGCTTTGGTTCTAAATCGATGAGTAACTTAAAGTCGAAAGACTTTCGGGGCCCAAGGAAATCTTCGGATCGTATAATGCATCTGTATAAAGTTGTTTCAATGACGACAATGTTTAATCCGATCGCAGATGCAGGATTTCCACACGGACCACCCTTATATTATTATGCCAGCACATGATTTGCTTTTTTTGAAGAGGACAGTGAACGTGAAGATGACCACTATATACGAATTGATGAATACTTCTGTTCCAGCCGCACTCGTACACTCATTCTCGTCGCTATCACCGCTGGTGTCATCAGCTGCGAGCAAAGAGAACAGAGACTCCGTTGAGCTCGACCGTACCCTCGAGGAGGAGCATTTTTTGCCGCAACACGACCCACATGTTGCGAAATTGCTCAACGTAGACGTTCGCTGCAGCCGGGAGTCACTCGATGTCCTAATGACCTTCGACAGCCCGTTCCATGGTTAGCTTCAATGATTAGAGTGTAACAAGCCGAATCAAATGCAAATTTCTTTAAGTCATAGTATGTCGAGAATATTTGTTATTCTGCATTTAACTACTTGTAACTTACTTACGTATGATTCAAATGTTTCGGCTAAACTATCACGAGATTCCAATGTTAAAGTACGCTGTCTCTTTATTTCTCTCTTGTGTCAGGCGTAATATATTCGAAGGGTCATTACTCGGACCCCCAGTGTCGGTATCAACATCAACCATTATCTGATCCGGTTAACGCATCACCGAATTCGGCGGAACAGGTTGTTTCGCCTGACTCCGCAACCCAAATGCGCTTTACGGTTTACCCTGATCGTTGCGGAAGTCGATTGGTTGAAGGTCCACAAAATGGAGAAACGTACATAGAAAATACGGTGGTCGTACAGAATACTCCGGGAATTCAGGTAAACGCTTTCCTAGAGATCGGATGTTAAGCCAAAATGTCGGCAAATCTGGCATGGTAGAATAAATTTCGTCTCTCCATATTCAACGTCAGATATTGTGCGTTTCACTGTGTTTCCCGCCTTTAGTTTAGTTTAGTTAGAATATATCACAAACGATCTTATAACTTTCTTTATTTGCTTAAAACCTTTAGTATACGCACAAATGTCTCTTTACCTAATGCTTTTACACGTCGCTTACGTTACGCGGTGGTTCAGACGCATATCAGTGACCTCAGAATGATAAAGATCTTTCCTCCTGGCTGAGCCCGGCAAGCCGTTCATCAGTCTTCGGAGGACTAGCAGCGAGAAAACACGTCGCGCATCAATATCGAAGCACAACTGACTCAACCTCATTTTCAACTGCTCCATTGTGTATAATGATAATCCAGTATAATCGTTGTCCAATGCGAGAAGCAGCAAATTCTACGATGACTTACCGAAAGATTTCGGGCTACGAAAACTCGTACTGACGTGCTCCGACTGTCAGAAGGTCCAACGTTTTTCCGTTCATTGCATGCCATGTTCCGGGCATGTGTAACATAAATAGAACATAATAAATTCCTGCTTACCATTTCGTTTATCTCAGGTGCTGTAGACAATTGAAGACTGTTTGTTCCGAAGAACCAGCTGAAGATGGTCGCAGAAAGTATTTTCAACTAGTTAAAATCGGATTCTTCTGCGAATGCGATGTCATAATGTTATTTATAATTTTGACATGACACTCGCAATACATGCAATTGAAAATGCGCCGCGAAAAAAAACAGATAATTTGAAAAATGAACCAAATGCGCTACGTCGCAAAGGAAACACTCAGGTGGCACTTCAATCGATTATGTATACTATAGAGCATTGTTATTTTGAGCAGTTACTATTGGCTGAGCGTTTTCTATACTATTATAAATTTACTTCGTGGAAAATGTATAATAACCGTTAGCTATTAGATGTATTGAGACATTAAACAAGTGTTTAAATTTGCCAACAAAATATGCTGTTTATTTTTTATCAAAAAGTATTCTCACGTACGTTAGCGTTCAAATGTGTACGGTTGTCGGCTTCTTACCGTCTATAGAGAACTAAAAGCAGTTAACAGGCGTATCGGTCCGCTGCATCGTTATTGTCCGTACACATTCAAGAGTACGGTTCATATGATATTAATTTTCTCCCACTTTATTGCAACTAACAGTTTTTCGTTCTAAGGGTTTTTTCTCCATTGATTTGTTTTTTTTTCAGTCTGTTGTTGACACAGCCCGCGCCTTACGTTGTGTATTTGAGCCACGTTCTGGCCCTGGGTCGGTTCTCTCGCGTACCGTCTCCTCGTCCCTATCAGTTGACGTTCTTGACGTTATCTCAGTGACCTACTCTGGTGATTCAATCGACTCGTACCTTGACGTCCAACTGGGAAAAGGCCCATTTCATGCTAGCCCAGTCAATGGGCTTGTCAAGATTGGCGAAACGCTCACACTTGTCGTTTATATTCACGGTGACGATTATGATGTTCGCGTAAAGGACTGTATGGCCCATGACGGAAATGCGGCGAATTCGATCCGGCTGAGCAACGACAGGGGTTGTGTTAGCGCGCCAAAGCTCATGGGCCCTTGGCAGAAGACACGCGAGACCGGCAACACTGGCGCGTCCGCCATCGCTTGGGCATATCTGGAGGCTTTCAAGTTCCCTGACAAACTGGAGGTCTTTATAGAGTGCAATATCGAAATATGCAAGTTTCAATGCCAGCACGATCCGCATGAGTGTCTCGTTGGTCGAAAGAAGAAATTTTCAAGCAGAAAGAAACGAGCTGTTCTCGATGATCGCATAGCGTCGAACTCTTCATCAGTTGAAAGCCCAACTCTGCCGCGTATCGCAAGCAAGACGTTGGATGATGGGGCAGGAACTGACGCCAGCTTTGTCACTGACGCTCAAGAACACGGAGATGTCACGGATACCTTGTTGAACGATCAGGAACAAGAGCAACTGGCAGAGCGTGCGCACTTAATGAGAGGTATTCGAGTTGTAGCCCCCGAGGACTCAATCGACGCTTCAGCAGTGCCCGTTCGCAGTTCGACATTTGTCGCCGTGGGAGGAGGAACTAGCGACCGGCCGGGTGGTTTACGCGCGAGGCCGGCAGGGGGCACACACCATCTTGTGCCGCATCTTCAGCATTTTTTACAGCACAACCAGCTCTGTGTTTCTACGACTGGTTTTCTCTTCGTAGCAGGGTTATCCGTTGCCGTTTTAGTAGCCCTGCTGCTTACTATAGTTGGCCTCTACCTACGGATGCGCCAACTCGATCCGGATGTGCAGTTAGTTAGTGAAGCCGCAATGGTTGGAAGCTTGCAGCGACGTCATGTGATTGCTTCCATTTCGGAGCGAGCTGGGCAGGGCGCACCCCGAAGAAAAGGCGATTTTTAACCAAACACAGTCTTTTTTTTTCAATTCAAGTCTTCTTTTGGTTATTCGACCGCACAAATTCACTACGAAAGTAAATCATTCGTTATATGTTGGTAAACAAAGTCTGTGCCTCGAAATGTGGCATGTAGCGTTTAATGATATCTGATATACCATGTAGCTTTTTTGCCGCAAGGCTCCTAGTGGCCAAAAATAACAACTATTTCATTTGCACTAAATCTTTTATTTACTGCAAATACGACTTTGTTAGAAAATTTCAGGCGATACAGTTGTAACTAGCAAATATTAAAAGACGCTCAATCAGGGAGACGGCGCACGTACGCCGTTTGTTTGCGGCGACAAATCAAAAACAAAAATATAAGCAAAGCTTTAAATGGATCGTAAGCAGCGTCGGAAGATAGGTTTTTTGTTTTGTTTAACGTGGTCACAAAGCAGAACCTCATTGTGTTCGGTAATACGTTGGTAGAACTGTACATGTTTATTGCGGTGGCTTATTTTCATACAACACAATCACCTCACACCCATCAATCGTTCATCAGCAGTCGTTCGCGCTGTAGCTCAACAACCGTTATCATACCCACAGACCCTTTGTAGTGCTTCCCTGCAGAGAGGCGTACGAGGCGCAGCCACCATTGTAATGCAGGCAAAAGAACTTAAAAATTATGGAAATCGTTATACTCAATTTTAATCCAGAATGCCACGATTGTCACAGCTAGGCTGTTGTAATAACGCTAATAAATAAAATGAAGCTAAGAAATGAAGAAGTAGCGTTGTTATTAGTTCGTTTTAATTTCGTTAGAGTTCCTGCTGTGTGCGAACGGCAAACATACATTTCCCATGAATCATAGTTGTTTCAGCATCTTGACGATCAGAATGTCAGTGTCCGAAGAAAGAGCAAAAGACAACTGGCCTCATTGTTCTGTCTGTATCTATATATATATCTTTATCGTCTTTCTATCAAAACTATCATCTCATATTGTTTCGTATCAGCTTTTAAATTCGTATATTACTGTACCTAAGGATAATTGTTTTTTTGAGATGGCGATTTAGCGATTCACGGGTTATAAAGAAAACCGAATCACCCTGTACAGCCAATTCCAGGCAGGCATCAGTATTAGTGCGTAAGCAAATGTTTTTTGAAAACCTAGAGTCTGGTAAACTAGCTTATATAACGTACATCAGCATGGTGTTGTCTTCAGTTTAACTTTAAGCAATAAACGAAAGAATTTGTTCTTCAAAAATGACTGGTGTCACCACCTGTTTAGTTGCTTTCCGTATTTAGTCCTTTGGTTAGGATAGTTGAAAGTATTGCTATTTTCGTTCGTAAAAAGTCTTGGTTAACTTTAAGTGAATCGCAGACATTTTGTGCCAGTATCGTTTAATAAACATCTAAAATTGAATAATTTCTTCATTTTCTATTATACAATTACTTGTAGTAAAGGCAGATTATTAACTATTGTAACTTTTTTGTCACTCTCTGAACACGGGAAATGTTTGATCAAAACAATACTTTCGCGAAGGCGAGCAAACGTCGCCAGGCTCGAATTATTGAATTTATTTTTGTATTTTCCCAGCTTGTTTTCAACATTTCGCAGCTTCCCCAATTCTTCCCAATAACAGCTATCAAACGTTGTGTAAATTTAAAGTGCCTTTATATCTGTTAAAGTATCGGTTTTGATAACAAATACATTTGCAAAGACATTGTATTTACTTTTGCACTTCACTATCTAAGTGTCACAATCAGCAGATTTCGTTCTGACCTGTCCCTCACTGAAGAAAAAGATGCAAGCAATTTGGATTACGTTGCTTCATCATACCGTTAGACCTGCACGAGCAACATTGTTCATGTCAGTAAAAAACGAACTGAGAAACAACGAAACGGAACGTTCGTAATGATTACCGATATTATTTGTATGCAAGGTCTGAATCAACTCGATTCGATGTTGGAAGGAAACGACCCAAAAATTTCATATGTCCTTAATAGAAGATTTAAGATGAATACCAGAAATTCATCTCCATTGGAAATATTCAATGAGAGCCAACAAAGTGCTGCAGTCGTTAATCTAACCAAATGAAGCAAGCATTATAGCAAGAAATAAAGTACAACAGTAAAAATAAATAGTTAATGATCGGATACACACTGGTTTATTTATTAAGTCCACTTAAGATATTTAGTATACAAATATACAGCAACGTGCATTACCATAATAACACGTTCAAAAGTTATTGTACAGCTCCTCGATTTTAAAACCAAATTTAGTCAGCAGAAGTGCTGAGAAGTGGTACGTTCCGCGTCGATATTGACCTATTCTGAACTAGTGGCTAATTGATGGTTTGTTGTAACGCATATATATTTTCGCGTGAGGGTAGATAGTTGATTTGCAATCACAGTTACCCAAACGATGACTGGTTTAGCCTTTCATTTAACGTAACGTACTCCTTAAACTTAAGACTATATATCGACCACGTAAACAAACATACGTAGTCGAACATTTGCGTCGAGAAAACGAGGCTATGGCTACTGATTACCTGAGCTGTGCTTACGCAGCTAACAGTTACTTTAAGCCAGGAATCTTACATTATATAATAGCCGGTTTACAGTTTAGGACTTATGTCATTTTGCTTCACTTTATCTGCCCCCGTTTAAAACTTGACCGGTGACACTGTTGGCGATAGTTGCATGCGTCCGCTCTATATGTTTTCTAACGTGATTATAGGTGAATGCGGAAAAATCGCACAGGGCACACTTGTAGTCTCGAACACCGCCATGACGTTTCTCGTGCAATCGCAAACTTTTCAAGTGTGCAAACCACTTATCACAGTGGCCGCAAGGGAATGAAGGTTCGCCATGCCCACGCATATGTTTATTCAGATCACCGCGTTCTCGCGCACGGTAAGGGCACTGATTGCAGGCGAACGGTTTCATATCGTCAGTGTGGGTTCGCATATGGCGAACGAGGTGGGCCTTGCGCTCAAACTGCTTTCGGCATACCTCGCATTGATAAAAGATCTCCGCCTGGCCGTGCACTAACTTGATGTGACTTTTTAGAATATAGCGATCTTTGTAGTTTTTGCCACAGAGTTCGCAGTATCTGGGTGCAGCTTCATCATGCCGCTCGTTGTGTTTTCGCATCAAATACTGTTGCTCAACGACGACCCCGCATGGAGCGCAGACGAGATTTGGGTGTCTCCTGACGTAGTGCTCAACCAACGCCTGTTTATTGGCCAAGCTCAAACTGCATTTGATGCAGCGCTCCAGGTGCATTCCTCTACCAGTTTTGTCGGTCCCATGCTCCTGAATCAGGTGCTCACTCAGATGAGCCTCGTAGAACGACTGAAAACCACAACTGGGACACTGCACTAACTCGTTCTGAACGGGTTCAGCGGCCCGTTTCTTTAAAAACGCCTCGTCCTCTACGGGGTCGCTCTTCTCAAGAGGAATTACCAGTGGGTATCGCACCCAGTCTGGCACCCCGTTAAACACGGCAATTCTGGCATTGAGGGTGAGTTCTCCCTGGTCAGTGGATACATCAAACGAAGCGCTTGTACCTTCATCCTGTCGAGACAGCATCGTCGTGAGAACCCGGTCGCAGAGAACGCTTGGAGGTAACGTGGGTGGTACATCGTCGATCCGAAGCTGGACAAGAAGCGCAGGACAAGGTGCGGGCGAAAGCAGCAGAAGTGACACTTGGGCTTTAGATTCGTGACCGCGCTCTTTTCGGGGCCGTCCACGACCCCGTCTGCCGAGTAGTGACGCCAGAGCGGTCACATCGATAGCCCGCTCTCCGTCCTGGCCAACTTCTTGACCTGACGTGTTGGTCAGAGGCTCAACAGGTTGCATCCGAAGTGGTACCGCCAACACCTAGAACACAGCGATGAGATTCAAAACGACATAAATCGTTGAATGTTGATAGCAAGGGATCCCGAATTAATTCCAATATATTATATATGTTTAAACTTAATTTCTTCATGTTTCTTTTAAACCTTTTTTTTTCATACCTGTTTAGTATCATGGTTTATATGTACTACGTATTTTGTGCCTTGGAGCTCGATGATACAGTTGTGTGGTAACGGAATAGCATTTTCAAGGTCTAGAAACTCATCTCCCACGAAATGGTCTCCAGTAACAACGTCAGTGTGTGCAAATGTTTGCATTAGTGAGTCCGGTTCATCCGACTGAAACGATAACTGTTATGAACATGATTATAAAGACATTTGTAATCTAAAATCCTTTCGCAAGAGACCTGTCAACACGAATAACTCATAGCATTTTACCTGTGGCGCAACAATTTCGAATATACAACGAAAAAGATCAATATACAAATTATCGACGCTAACCAAAAGTAACAAGTGAATGCTGAGCAAACAGATATTATGAATCGAACTAAATGAAGTCTCTACTTACTTAACCTAACCTAAATAGAACTAGAAAAAGGACGATGCCCTTACCTCTGGTCTCACCGTCATAACTTCGGTTTCCTCAACCGGTGAAGGAATGTCGTTCCTAACCTGTACACCGGCCTCATAGCAAATGGTGTACGAGGATGGATTGTGAAGAAGCGGTACGGATGATTCGCAAAAATCCATACGACTCTACCAAATTATGTACTCCTTGTTACACGTATATTGCGTCTGATCAAGTTGGCGAAACCTATAACCAACCATCAAGCTGGTTTTACTCACCTGGACTCAATCAATAAACTGATTTTTAAGCCACTACAGATTCACTTCTATAAGCTTGTAGAGATACAAATAATTCAGTTTACCCAACGTGTAATGCGCGGTCGATAGGAACCCTAGACCCGCTATGATTAAAAAAATATGAATATATAGTACTACCACTAGTATGTGTCGTTGTCCTAACCTATTATTCCTATTATTCTTGAATAACGTAAGCGTTATAGCTTATCTAAAAAAAAAATTATTGAATTCAAAAAACGGAACATAACAACATCTATTCGACTGGTGTCTTTGAGTATTTTTTTTATAGAATCGGTAAAAAAATTCTACCCTACAAGACTAGGAGAATCGGATATATGAATTTTTCATTTCGTTCTGGTGTATATAGTAATTTTAGACATGTACTAAATGTTAAATATTGTTTAGTCATTTCAAAATAGAATTTTATGTTACAGCTGAAACCAGCCAAATGAGAGGCATATGTTTCAATAAAGCTGTGAAATTATATATTGGAACAAAGTTTTTTTTAAGGTTACTCAGTGCAATAGTGAATTTACATACTATTCCTTCACTTCAGCATACGCGAAAGTGTACTGTAAGCTTTGTGTTCAAACAATCTCATGTTTTTCGCCGTTACAGATAGATAACATGTCATGCTTTACGGGAAATTGTCATAAAACATAATTTCCTTATCGTATCAAATCTCTCGCTCACAGCAGTGACATGAATCAATGAAATGGTCAACAATATACTACACTGGCTATTGTGACGTCTATACTGTATAATAGTAATAATAACGACTGTAAGAAGTATTTCCCGTAAAATTAAAAACCATAATTAACGTTATTTCGAACACAAGCTCACAGTTTTGTTTTGTCGCACGCACAATGTTTTTAGCACAGTAATTAATTACTTGAGTAGAAAAAATATTCCCTTACCCCAAAATGATTCTACACTCTTGTCGTATAGTCTTGTTGTAACTCAGTTAACTTTACTTACTTAAACGTACATTTGGAAGCGTTAACTAATTGACTATTAACTATTAATTATTCTAATAATAACTAATGAAAATTGTCTTCAAACTCAATGCGATCAGTACAAATGTATTATAATGTGCAACAAGACACATTGAATACGGATGTGCACATCAAATTGTATAAACTGTGTCAGAAGTGCTCACAGCTTCTGCTAGCGGACACTGGAGTAATTGCCAACAATGCAACTGTTGGTCTTCCACAATCCGCGCATTTAGGCTTCAGTTCCGAGAATTAGTGCGATGCCCAATATTTACATACATCCCGGTCATATGTGCGTACTTTGTGATCTAAAGTGTTACAGTTTAAAGCGAAATACATCTCATACAGCCTGTTTATGTAATTGCGCAACGTAAGAGTCTCATTCTGATAAGAATAATATGCGGGTTGAATCTTTGCACGGTTTACTTTTCATGTATGTCGAATACGCACTGTTTTCTACGGAGTGTGCACACACATTTGATTGGCCTTCACCCATTGTAATGTACAATGGACTAAATTTATTATGCGTAGTGCGTAATGTATTATACGGCTATTGCCTGGTGAAGGGAAGTGACTGCCAATAACTTTATAGTTATAAAATGCTATATATTGCTCGGCTTAAAAATGGAAACAAATGATGCACAGGATATTTTTTAACTCTACGTATAGCATATATATTATGAACATACCAACTAGTGTAGAATTCTCCTAGGAGGCCTTCATTTTCAATAATCGGAAGGGAAATCCGGGTCCGCTAGAGACATTTCTAAGTCGTTAATGTTCCGCCTCTTCTCATCTCTTTTGGTTTGTGTATGTAAGATTCAGTAAATTAGACACATACAGAGTTAGCAAGTCATTGTTTTAGAATGAAACCTACGGCAGATTATTACGCCATTATCCAATTAATTGTGAATAATAGGAATGCCGCACAGTATATATGCAGTAAACCATTTTAAAAACTGTCCGTGGTCAATATGAGTTGATTTCATTAACTATTACTCCTAGATATGATTCAAAATTTTCCCCATATGCTGTTGTCACTACTGAAACTATTCGAGTTAATTAGTGAATCAGTTTTCTATTCCCTGTAAATTTAAGTTGATGTGGAAAAAACAGCGAATTTATTTAAAATACACTGGAGCCAATGATGTTTAATCCTATTCTGTGAATAATGATCGCTTTGATACTGCTCAGGGTACGCTGTTCCCATGTTCAGAAAGTTTTCTAAGAAATAACATATGAGATATTTTACAAACCGTTTTTCATTTACCGCACTCATTTCAATTCTCGGACTATCATAAGATGAGCAACTGTATTCGAAAACAAGAAACTCCACAAGCAGGTTTATTTGTCTTAAGTGAACGTGAGTCTTAAACTTTAGCAATCGTTAATCGCTCGCTTGTTGTATGCTTCATAGCTATTACGTTCATGAAAACTAAACGAAAATTGATTTGCATCGATATACAGATATGTCGCTAAGTCGGGTTTCCCTCGGACGAGGTGTGGTGCTGTCACGCACCAACCTTAATCTAAGTGGAGGCCTCGCAATGGCCATGAAATTTCCTGTGGCGAGTCACATCGATTCCGGACGTCGGACGATCTTTGGTAAGAAGGACAATTTGGAACATGGAATCACGTTTCGGATACCGACCAAAGACAACACGACCGTAAGCAAACGAAAGGACGCGTTCAAAATTCAGAGCGATAAGGCGCGCGATAAGCAGGCTTTCCTTGAAGTTATTGAAAGATTTAAAGTAGCCAATCCTTCTCGAAAAGGACACGTCGAATTCATTACAGTAGCTTTAGACCACATGGAAGAATATCAGGTGAGTTTAAGGGCTTAAAAGCAAAGCGTTGCTCTCAATATAGTAGGGCCAATATTACAACACGGCCTAATACTCATACTTCACAAGCACCATGTAACTGATTTCGTTATAAAAAAAACATCGATGCTCTCTGCAGTTGGACAATGTACATTCATACATCTATAAAACAACCTTGATTAAGTAAATATCTCTTGTCAAGTAATTGCAAACGTTATGATACGATGTTTGATTAAACATTTGACAACTTAGTAAAGAAGAATGTGGGCGTTATCTGTAACAAATATCTTTAGAAGAAAACGACCAGCACCCACAACGCCTTGTAGCTGTGGTTTGTCCTACACATTATCCTCGCTGAGAGCTAGGGTCTTAATCCTTTCGTTCTTATTGTGCTTATCCGCAGCACAAGCAACACATAATATTAAGGCAAATTAGCCGTTCGAAAAAAAGAAAAGACAGCGTAAATATGTTCTTGCTTCTCGAAGTCTAATTTCGTTATCATTGTTATTAATTTAATTATATAGGTTGTATCGGATTTGGACGTATTCTATGAGCTTATGGATCTCTTTCCCAAACACAAGATGCTCCCGGAAACTCTTATCCAGGCAGCACTCTATCATTTTCCGCGGCATCAGGAGGCAGGTTTAGCGGTACGCAATAATTTGATACTATGTATATATGCATTACAGTTACTGAGACAACGTGCTGGAATTATGTCGACAAGGGTGCCTTCCTTAAACAGCGTTGATATCATATATGCCATTGGTCCTATCCATTTAACTCATAATAATAATAGTAACAATCATATTATTAAAGAAATTGTTCACGAATGAAGGTCGTTCTTCCTTTAACTAATAGCTAGTCATTAAATAACAAACCATTTTTCTTGTAATGGCATTACTTCAGATCCTTGAGAAAATGGAGGTTGGCGGAGTGATGCCTGATAGGACTATCAGAAATCTAGTCCTGGATACTTTTGGCTCCGAATCACATGTAAGCCTGGTTTTGTGTTTGCCTGTTTTGACTTGCTTCTATAGACTTGCCTCGGTCTAATAAAATGATTTATCTAATATAAAAGTCTTGTGTATTCAACTTTACACATTAGTCGAGCTTATGATAGGTAGCGGATACCACGCAATTACATTGTTGTTCTTACGTTGTTTGTTGTAAGAATTCACAGATTATCTAAGTAAATATGTATAACGTTTTCTCTTTACGTCTCATAGGTATTCAAAAAACTTTGTCGTTTGATGTACTGGGTGCCGAAGTTCAAGAATGCATCACCTTACCCCCTGCCGAAGCCAGTTCCGCGTGATCCTCGGTTATTGGCTCGTCTCGCCATTGAGCGCATTACTGGGGTTGATCTTGAGACAGAGGTCGTGGACCTTCATGCTGATGATGTGCCTGATTCAATCGATAAGACCTGGATAATTTCTGGACAAAGTCCAAAGGTTAGTACATACATGTGGGCGTGTATGCGGCAGAGATGAGAAGGGAGAGAGAGAGAGAAATACAATGAGCATCATAAAAATATTGATGTTATTCATGAGCTACGAAGTGTAAGGAGAGTGGCTTAAGGCGTTCTAGGTTAAGACTGTTCGTCTTTTTTTTTCTTTTTAAGAAATAGAGGATATTTGTCTTTTTTTACTGAGATTTAAGAGTGCTTTGGAATCCCTAGTTAGGTTTACTTGAAAAAAATTGTTGTATTTTGTAAGATTCTAGCTTCAATCGGACTTAAAAATAAAATTACATTTGCGCTACGTGCCGCTAGCAGATGAATTTTGAGTGGTGGAAAAACGCGCGAGTTAAAGTTAGTTGAGTTAATTTTAAGAGAAGATAGTTTAGAAGAAAAAACATTTTATAGTCTCGAGCATTAGGGCCCAGTGGTGAAATTTTTATTTCCCGTAGATACAAAAGTTATCAAAGGTTCGTAAAGCATTACGTAAGGAAGCATTAAGCGAAAGTACAGTACGTGAATAGAGCAAAAGAGCGAAGAGGCGATCAGATTTTTAAGAGATAGATATGAAATCCTTGAACACATTGCTGCAATCGAGGAAGTTTTTGACCAAAACAGAGTTTATGGTCCGAAAACTCTGGTGGCAAAAATTGACATTTTACAAGTATCGTGTCACAGAATTTTCACCTAAATACTGAAGGTGCGATAACTGAGCAAAAATGGGTGCCCTGTGAATTGATTCCAGGCCACTTGGAAATGCGTGTAGTATATTCTGCGTGGAATTTGCAGAAATTTAGTTAACAAAAAATTTGCCTGAAGCATACGGTTGCCATAGACTAGGCATGGTTCAATTTCTACCGCCAACCGAAGAGGGATCAAGCGAAAGAATGTAGTTGTCCTAAAGTAAAATCGAGTTCGAAGACAATGTCAAGTAGCCTCAGGCGTGAAGTGACAGTAATACTTGCATTTAACATGAGGGGCGTCTGCTACTATGAGATATTCGCCGAAGGTGAAACAATGCATGTAGCTCTCTATCTTGAGTCCCTCAAGAGATTCATAGACCGTTGGTTCGGCAACCGAAAGCATTCAGTTTGGTTACTTGATAACAACGCCATACCTTATCGCCATGCATCAATTACTTCCCGGGTTGATATCAATTCGGAAATGATCAGTATCAAACGTTGGTTTCAACCAGCTTATTTTTACGATCTAGGTCCGAACGCGGATGTTCGGAGTCCAGAAGCCGGTAGAGCGCTGGGGCAAATGTATAAAGGAGCGTACTTCTAAGGCTCATTTTTAAAGCCATCGCTTTAGCCTAATTGGTTCAAGGGTTATTTGACTTTAAAGTCCGTCAATATCGCCTGTGACAGTTTGATAATTACTATTTCTGACAAATCTCTCATATAACGTTGCTTCGACCCTAAATTCGGAAAATGTTTGATAATGCATTTAATATGAGAGTTTTTGGTAATAAATAGTTCACTGGTAAACCGTTATGCTTTTCATCTGACAGCAACAAGAACTTCTTGCCCAAGAGACCGGAAAGGTACCCTTACGGATAGAAGGCCCGCAGCGAGTTTGGTTGAGGGATGCGCTCATCAGTTACTTCTGTCTCGTGGGAAATCCACGGGAAAAACCCGAAATTCGTATCAATACAGATGGTAAACCTTTGTAAAACATATAGTTTGCCCCAACCCTACGAGGAACCGAATTTCTTATGCCGTATACGATTTCTCATATGTCACCAAATCTATTTAAACACTCTAAATAGGTAATAGTTCATTGTTAGATTCACGAGCATCATTTCACGTTATTTAACATTTAGCTCCTTTGTTCAATGTAATACTTGATATAATTTTTTTTGGCATAACAGCCCGGTAATTATTCGGATTTAGCTGATCAAGGGAGTAGTAAAAACAACTGCGATCAGATAAAACCGATTGACAATCTTAACTTTCGTCAGCAGTAGAAGATGTTAGTTTTACAAAAGTGAAATGAATGTTCCCAAGCAGTTTCAATTATAGTTGCGTGTACTTAAGCGTTAAACAGTTGCAGCCCCCAAATATAGCATAATTTAAAAATTTGAAAAATGTACCAGGTCGAAACATTTTGCAGTTTGCACGTTTGAAGGTAAACTAACTGTCGATTATAGAGTCTTGCTGCGTATCCTAACCGTATTTGAATCTGTGATATTGCCATGATTTAGACGTGTCAAACTTGAAGTTATTGTTCTTTGGTGAGAAAGCCGAACCCTCGCAGGATCTTTCATTACTTCCTACTGTTCACGAGCAGTCCGATTCTACTATATTCGCGGTTTGCTCCACCGGGACATCATCCAGGTTGGTAACCTAGACAACAGCTAGAACTGTCAAAACTTCATATGAGCAATGCGGAAACTAATTGAGTCCATCTCGGTAGCGCGAAACTGACTATGCGTCGATGTTTTGAAAAGTTTTGAGGCATCCACAAGCTGCTATTGACAAAACTGTCGCAGTTACAGAAAATAACCTAGGTTTGATATATTGGAGCAGCGGAATATCTTTTTAAAAACGCAGATTTGTCATTTCGAAGCCATAGGAGGTGCTATGTTACATGGTACTGTGCGAGGCATACAGTGAATTGAGCGAGATATCTTTTTTGCATTTCAGAGATTCGTTGCTTTCATGGCTACGGTTGCTCCAGAAGACAAACCCATGTCTAGAAACACTTCCTGTCGTATTTCAGCTCTTGGCACCCACAAACGCACTGACTACCATCGGAAAGGGGTCTACCAATGAGAGAGGATTCGAAAGGGATTGCGGAACCGAACATTTAGTGGGAAAGAGCGATCTGGATTTATGGGATACATTTGTAAATACAGAACAGATAAAAAATAAGCAGGAAGAATTAGTTAGTAGTGATAGTAATACTACAAAAACATAATAGCAATGTTTTATTTTCATTGAAGGTAGTCCAGAGTCGTCTGGGAATCATATAGTCAAGTTGTCATAAGTTAATAATTTGCTTTTTTCGGCTTGTTAGCGGGATCCTATACCTGCTGTAAAACAAATTTATATTAACACATATATACATGTGTACACATATTCTTGCGAAAAAAAGGGTATGTGCTGGGTTACTAGCTGCTAAAGCATGAGGAGAAATATAGTCATATTGACATATTTCGAGCTAGAGATGGCTAGGAAATACGGTCAGACCGCCTCAACGAACATAATTTTATTTTAATTACTCAGCGTATACAAATATTTATGTTTGGAATAAAAAGGTTGTCGCTTCTGGTATTCAGACTATATGGCACGTCGTTTTTCTATAGTTGTTGTCAACTGGCGATCGAAGCATATGACTTATAGTACAGCACTTACATTTCCAAATGTTTCGGCTCTAAATAAGTAATATATGAAAAGAAGCGTACATGCATTTCGGAGCACAAATAAGTATTGTAGCAGGTTATAAAGAAAAGCACAGGCATTTTCTATTGGGAGGTCTCCTATCCATTCGGTCTCGTTGGCCAGACAGGTGCTATCGAAGTACATAGAGTTTCCAATTATTATGGGCTGTTTTTTATATTTACCTATGTATGAATGATCTGAGAACCCGTGTACTACAACCGGCAAGTTCTAGTACAATTTTAGTGGTAAAGTCAAACGTAAAAGAAGAGGGTTTGTTAAATGGGTCCATGATAAGCATCGAACAAATAAGCTCAATTATATTTGTGTCCTAAAACCGCTGTGAACTGCTATTAGCTATTATTTTAGGATCACCAAATTTATAGAGCCATGATTTTTCGAATTTTGTATTTATCTCTCGACCACTATAAAACATTACTGAGTCCGGTTGCTGAGTTAGCGCTGTCACTCACAGAACGTTTTTTATCTTTAGACAAAAAAACTGCTATTTCCGCCCACTCGTACACTCTGTAAAGACGCACATTGTCACCCCCCTATCCACGTATCACCGTCTATTGCAACGTTGCCCAAAAGCGATATCTGTTACTTTTCATTTTTCCCTCAGTATCTACTCGTGTTTTAACGACTGAATTGTATTATGTTGGAGAACGGCATATGAAAACATTAAGAAAGGTTAAAACTAAAGAAGGTTTCTGAAGAATATCAGAAAAAACCCGCCGCCGTTGCTCCATTTGCTATTTTTGATACTAAGGCCCAACCTCGAGACCTTAAGAATAAATCGAACAATTGTAGTCAGACAAAAATCGACAATTAAGTTGATGCCCTCTTTCATAAATGCGCAGCGATAACTAGATATGGACTTAATTCGTAATACTGCAGACGCTAAATTACGTACCACTTACCGAATCTCAAAATAAACAGATTGCCCATCGCATTGTATAATGATAATAACGCAACCCATGTGCGGTCGTTAAAGCTATCTGACAACGAGAGATGGTAACCAGGTCCTTTCCAGCGGTGGATTTTGTATTAAAACTCATTTTGTTAATTGATGGTGTATGCTATCGCTTAAGTTGGTGGTTGTTCTGCCGAATTCTGATACATATAAATCTGTTTCTGCGAAATGGATTTATACGTATCTGAATTAAAATGAGGATTGCGAAAACCAACCCGGATCGTCGTATTTAGCGTAAATCGTGCCTCTATGTGTCGAGCAGCGAAGTTAGTCGGGCTTGGTTTAAGACACTGCATTCTGCGGAGCTCGCACGACGCATTCAGCCGAAACGGATCTTAAGCTAATCTTAGTGCCATTGAGTTATAATCTACGTAAGGAAACACCATCGAATATCCCCATGATACGTTTTACTAAAAACTATGACAGCTGAAATCGCCTTCCGTCAGCTTTGTATGTGAGCTTCTACAAGTGCCTTTATTATTGGTTAGTTGTACTTCTTAACCTGGCACACATATATAAAATATACGTATGATATATAATATATATCATTGTGACACCAAATACTATTACATAATTTCCTTAACAATGTGATAATCCTTTAGAGTTTAACTACTATCGAATGTAGTTGCTGCTTGCTGCTCTGTCAGCGCTGTATTAGTATCGGAAACTACCTTCTATCCATGCCACATTTGCATCTACCTCTATTTGCTCCCCTATTGCCCTTTGCTGTCATCACTTCTATGACCACCGCCGCATTGTGCCGTCGTCGTTCGTTTATTCCTTATATTGTTTCCTTCGCATGCTTTGGTTATTCGGCAATCACGTGGGCGATTTGAAGGTTCCCGCCGCTGGTGGAGTGTGCGCGCTGATTTCACGCTCTGTAGAATTTAAGCAGTGAATAAAGGTCATTAGTCAGATGGCTGCGCATTCTTTTCGCTCCTATTTGCTTTGCCTTCATGCACTAACTGAGAGACCTGATCCACTGCTAGCAATAGTATATAAAATTGCCTTAGCCAGGAAGAACACTGTATCAAGCGCAGTGCAAGTGGACCGGAGCGTTTGCAGCATTGCCTGCTCCGCGACCAAACCTCGTCGCGCAAGCAGCCGCATCGCTGTGTGGGCATCAGTGAACGCTCCCCTCTGCAACAGCAGCAATGAAGGGTGTCTGCCGCCAGCGTGCCCGCGGCGGCTACGGTGGTCTAGGAGCCCTAAGGAGATCGTCAGCACTAGCCGCAGCCATCATCAGCTAACGAACCGCAGGGGAGCGATTGGACGTCGGCGAATAGTGAGCCGAGAACAACGAAACACCAGACAACTCTCACCTGCCCGCCTGGTCGTTCCATCACAGCACAGCAATGTGGCAGCAACTGAGGACTATAACAACTAGACCAGTGGAACTGCCGCCACTGTTGTTGCGAGAGTCATCGCAAATCATTTGCCGCCGCTGATGTCGTTCTTTGATGCGCTCACAGTTGATGGGCAACAACAGACCAACCGGGTGAGCCTTCCTTGTCGGCGCGCTCTGGCCAGACTCTCGCCTGTGCTCGCGGTCGCTCATTTACACTCACTGTACGGTTAAGACATGTAGAGTGGCGACGGTGGCAGCGGCTGCGTCAGCGTCGGCGAGCGCACTTACAGCACAGCACAGCGTACCACTACTACACAGTAGAATAGCAGCAGCAGTAGCACAGATCGCATGTGAGCGCCGTAGAGGAAGGACACGTCAAGTAGACAACTGGACCGATAGACACAGACGAGCGGCGGGCCGGCAGCTATACAGACGGACGGACAGACAGACAGACAACCAGCCCAGCCGCGCAAGACAGCCCAACGATAACTACGGTGCAACAATCACTAAGCAGAGGGCAAGCCAGCAGACGTACACAAAGGGAACCTGGAGCGAGTTAGTAAGCAGACTAGCTGGTTAGCTAGCTAGCTACTAACCCACCTACCATGAACAGTGAATTTGTTTATTAACTGTGGCTTTTTTAAGTGTGTATGTGTATGTGTGTGTGTATGAGCGATTGCTTATTGGTTCTTTGTTTCGTTTGCTGGTTAGTAGAAGTGCGTGAGCGTGTCGAGTGCTTTTCGGTAGGCCGGTGGCTCATGTCGGCTTCACGTCGCTTGTGCCTGCGGAGCTACTGTTCTTCGACGTGCGAACTGCGATGCGCTGATGGCCGTCACTGGGTCTAGTGTTGCGACGGAGACCAGCCATCAGATGTCTCATTAACACTCGCTAAAGTTGCGAGGTGTGGAAGTGCATGGAAAATGGTGATGAACTGACGCTATACAGTTTATTGCTACATGGTACCGCACCATTAATTACGCTTAATTAATTAGCTACGAGATAAAGATGAGAAAAATTACGGAATAATATAGAGCCGGGTCTGCCAGTGTTTCCTGATATGTACCGGTGTGGTTATATCGCTTCAAGTACAAACCGTAACGGAAAAGTAGTATACAGTAGATTGAGTCATATGAGAAACTATCATTATTTCTGCTGCTAACATCATTATGATGATTATACCAACCGTACTAGGCATTGATAATAGCAATTAGAGGACTCAAGATAATGATAGCGGTGTAGCTTGTGCCAGCACAGGATTTTATGGCAAGTTAGTCACGGCATCAATTCGTGTAACAAACATCTCTGCGGGTAGAAATAACATCGACGCTCGTCGATAGAAATACGTATTAACCGTAGTTAAAAGCTAACAGAAAACGATCTAGAGTATTGTGTTCCGTGTACAACGATATGCGCACGCATGCCTATGTTGCTTTGTAGCCCTCAACGCAACGAAGATCCTTATCCCCATAGAATGTGCTAAGAGCAGAGTCGACTTGCGGACCAGTACAAGTCAGTTACGACAAGACAGATTAAATACCGCTTGCTTCTACCGCTTTTGCTGTTACTGTTATTGCAAGCAGAGCATTTGTCCATCACTCTGGTCACGTTCTCTAAGTCTGGTTTCTAATACTACAAATCACAAGGTCCACCGCCTCGACCTTCGCACCTTTTATAATCGTAGTTATTAGGGTGAAAGTCATAGCCCGGGCTCAGCTGTTGCTAGAGACAAATGCTGGTTATCGGAGATATATTGGTGTCTTATGTTGATCCACTGCCGCTGTTGCTACTACTACTGTAGGCAATGGTGGTCGGAAGGGTTATCCTCAACGCAGTACAATCTTCCAGTAGTGTCCATAAGACCTGCAACAGAAAAAGCAATCGGTAAAGTCATAAGCGAAGATCTTCCTTTCTACCGGCAGCGCGAGGTTACAAAGGCTCGAAAAGTTTTAGGCCCTGAGTTGAGCACCAGCAGTATCTCTAATGGTTCGATATGGCTCCCGAATCAATAGCAGCAGGTCCATATAGTGCACACTCCCGTCTTTTGTTTACTCTATTATGCTGTGATAATATATCATTGCGATGCTACCAGTTGCCCTTAATTTACATGGTTTGTCCCCTCGCACTCTCATTTCCTCCCTCAGCTTCAAGCGCGAGAAGTCTTTAAACTTGTGTGTGCGGTAGTGAAACTTAGTGGACACCGCTGCTAGTCTCATGCTGATGTTGCTGATACTTCTGTCTGCGTTACCGTTTTGAACGTCATATCTATCTGCCATTGCTAGTAGTGAATCCCTAGCGAGGAGCCGCTTGGCGGGTTTGCTCTGACCAAGCTGGATGGACAAACTGATCGAGAACCAAACCAACAAAGTCAATCCGATCAGCTGACAGCGCCATCGTTAATCATACTACTGAGAAGAAGACTACCCTTAGCTACGGTCGATAAGCTATCGCAAGCCACAGATCAATTAAGCGAAATAGTTGAAATGCACACCAGTTACATCTGTATATATACATATCTCCATGAGTGTCTATGTGTCGAATCTAGTTATGCTGAGGACATACTGTTTCGTCCAGCGTTGACGAATTTTTTTCTGCGTCGTGTTAGGCTAATTTGCTGAGGAGTGCAGCCGACCTACGCACCCAAATGGCTACACACAAGCGTCATTCCCTTCGTCAACGCTGTATCATGTATTTATTATATAGTAATGTTTATATCTGCGACATTAATATTTGCCTGTCGTAGCGCTGTTACTGCTCCTCAATGCCCATCACCACTGAGCTCTGTTCTAGAGACACGCATTAGCGGCACTTGCATAGCCAAACTACACAATCCATCTTCGTGTTTGCCTACACCCTTTTAGACGCTGCCGATGCTACCGCCGCTCCTAGAGCAACCTCCAAGAACGTGTTGTTTCTGCCGTTGCCTCTGGGTCGCTTTGTAGGCGTCTGTCTGTATCGAAGTGCGTTGAAGAGTTGTTCCTCACAAACGACGCGTTAGGGATCACCTCATTTCTGATATTCCGTCTTGAGGAGGCCGAAAACAACAGACTCATTGAAGTTTGCTGTGCTCGTTAAAGCTTGAGCGTATTTGACCATCATTTTTCGCAGGTTTCGCGTCAACGAGCTGTGTACTTGAAGTGGTGGATTCCATCGAGAAGAATTCTGAATCGAGTCTGACTAGCAAAAATGTAGTGCTGAAATACTGTCGAGTTTGCCTCGAGCCACTAGTCGCTGTCATTGCTTCCTTTGCAAATTCCAGTATGATGATGACTTTGGCCTAACTCACTGACTTATTATTAATTGATTACGTGAATTGTGCGCATCTCGGTGGG